GGGATAAGCCGATGGCAAATGGGTTCCAGTACAAAGAAGGTTGAGAACCACTGCTTTAAACCACTTAAAGGTGTTAAATGTAAAGCCAATCCAGGGGTTAATTTCAAGAGCTCCAGAAGCTGCTTACATTTACCATGCAACAAGGCCCAAACACTGAACAAACCAAACACAAAAGGTAGCTCTGGCTCACTTACCTTCCAGGAGGAGGATGTAGTGTCTGGTGTCTGGCGTCTCTTCCTCCCCTTCCTTACAAACTTCCCTGTTCACTCACTCCCTTCAGTGTTGACCCCTTCACTCTTGCTCCTTGTTGCAGTTCATTGTACACATGTGGAGACCTGAGAGGGGTTTCTCTGAATTTTAAGATGGGTCTAAAGCAGAAACCTGCACTAGCCAGGTAGCCTTGGCACCTGGGTTAACTCAGACTCCAGCCAGGTATGCTGGCTCTCACTTCCCTCTGCCAGCAATGCCTCCAGCAGCCTCCAGCTGTGCAGATCAAGGGACTTTTAGTAAGAAGGCTCTAGCGACCTCAGTGCTCCGAGTGAGGTTGTGCCTATTCAGCAGCCTAGAGAGTCAGAGGCCTTCATGCCTAGTGATATGGAGAGGATAGGCCATGAGCTTTTTGGCTTAGTAAAGGAATGGCTACCAGCGACTAAGCCTGTACAAAGGCTGTGCTTGCTACACGACACTCCTTTTGCTTGCTTAGCTCTGTACCACACTCATGAGTGTTGCTAAGCTACACTTACTGTTACAGTTTCCATAGTAACTGATGTATTTCAAAGAAGAAAAAGTGGAAGGAGCTGGGGTAGGGAAAGAGGATCAAATAAAACCCAACTGGATAATCATTACAGGCAAGGCGTGGGTGCGAGACAGTGTTCTGGGAGATATCCGTGTCACTGCCTGATGACTCAACTGATTGCAGTTACGGACTGTACAGCATCCCCCACTGCAGCATGCATATGCACGCACGCGCGCGCGTGCGCGCGCACACACACACACACACACACACACACTAACATTCTCATTCCCCCTACAAGTTCAATGTAAGAACCAAAAACTATGTCTAGCTCTGTGCAGCATTTAGAGCTGCAAGGCCCCAATCCTGAAAGGGGCCCCTGGGTACTACTCTAATAAAACAATACTCACAGTGCCGTGGCTGACTGGAAATAGTGGGACATGACCAGAAAACACTGGGGAGAAGTAGAATAAGCTTTCTGGGTGACTGTGGCAGGCCAGTAGGGGGTGCTACTACACTGAGCCACCCACCTCACTGTGCCCGACCATAACGCTGCTTTGGGTGTCTCTCCTGGGGCGCCTGTGTCCAGCCAACCCCCTTCCTGCAGCACACCCACAAGCCTGGGGTAACTGTGCCACCACCCTGCCACCAAAGTCTGGTCTTTGTTAGGTACATGGACCCTGTAGACCTTGGGGTTGCTTAACCCACCATGGTACTTTGGGGTGCTTCTCTTAACCTGAAGCATTCACAAATAGCCTCCCTTAGCCAGCTGAGCCAAAGGGAGTTGAAAAGGCTTGCCTCATCCCTCTTAAGCACATACAGCAAGGCTTGCTGTAATGGACAGCTTTATTGACTGGAGAGGGTAGACATGGGGAAGGATATAGGTCAGAGAAGTAACAAAAGAAAGGGTCTGAGCAAACAGAAGCAGCTCGGTAGCCTTTTAATACACTTTTAGATCACTTCATCCTAACCTACTAGCTAAAATCCAAGTAAGTTACTCACATATGCATCCAGAGCCTGACCAAGCTCTTTCTCTGGAGGCTGCATGGCTTGTTCGCGGTGTCCCAAAATGTGTCTGCCCTGCTACCTCATGGAGGGGCTCTTATACACTGGTTATATCCTCATCACCAAGTTCCCACCAGAAGCAGACCCATTGGCTGCTGACCAGCGCTTCCAAATGACATCAGCCTGACCAGGTGAGATGACCAGTCACATGACTTGCATTGGCAGGAACCTGAGGCACTAGAGGAGCAGGGCCCCCCTCCCTTTGGAATGTCCGCAGCCCAGCTAGTCATGTAGGCACAATGGCAACACAAGAAGGGGGGTTGGGCTGCTGCCTTACAACAGAGACAGACTGGGGGGAGGGCAATTACTCCACAAAGGTTATGCATCTACTCAGCCCTGGCAAGACTGTGGGAGCCAATTAAGTAGTCCAGCTATTCTTATCCCAAGGGGCTGCTAATATAAGAAACATTTTAGTGAGACTTGGAGTGACCAGCCCGGGTAGGCAATCCACCCTAGGTACAATTCCATCAACCTGAATGGAATTACAGTAAGGATGAGTTGACACCACATGATTGTTCTCTGTGACCTCAGGGTTTGTACCAGGCAATAGTGGCATATGCAATGCCCCATCAGTATTTCATGTTTGCTGTGCATCCACCTGGCTCTTCACTATTTTTTGTAGACAGAAAGGCAGATGAGCCATGCATGCAAGTTCTAGAAGAAGCCCTGCGCAGCTCAAATTGTGTTAACAAGTGGAATTTACTGGTGAGAGCAGTTCCCAGCAGGAAGCCTGAGTGCCAAAAGATGCAACTCTGTCTAAAGAATAAGTCCCTTCTGAATCTAACATGCTACAAGTTAGGAAGCCAGTAAGGAACAGAAAGACTTGGAAACAGCCATCATGCCAAGATTGTAAACTTAGATCCTAGTAAAAATAAACTCAGTTAAGAGGATTATAATGCTAAGGGACTATTGTGGTTCTATGCAAGGGGACTACAAGAAGGGGATCACATAAAGGAATTTATATATTTTAACAATCAGAGACAACTGCAAAACATCAGAGTACTTCTGCAGCCATCTGGACTGACACACCCATCCCAAAGGTCTGCCACCAGCCAAAATGGTTACTCCATAGGAGCCAGGTCTCCTGGGTTTTGTTCTCACTGACGATCAGATGAGGACAGTTCCCAGAGACCTGCTAATCCCTTCCAAAAAGGGGAATGATACTTTCCCCTTCTTCCCCTGGGTGTTAGGAAGCATAAGGATTACAGAAATTCTTTCAAACCTTTGGGCAAAAAAAAAAACTTGAGCCAGACTCACATTCCTGGCATGCTTAAACATTGCCATGAGAATGCAAAGATAATTTCTAAATTAAGCTAAATGCCCCAAATCTTAGCAGCAGCAGGTGGAGATGTGAGCTTCCACCTTCATTCCTTCACTGATTCTAGTCTGTTTCAGACCAGACAAGGAACCTGGATGAGAGGAATCCAAAGGAGTTGACAAAGGCACTGCACACAGAAAATGCACAGGGTGAGTTTACATAACAGCCTGCCAGGCGGTGAGATGTGTGCCTGTGCGTCATGTGGTGGAAGGCGTGTTCTTCGGAGAAGCTTCCCTTTCACATTTCCTTACTTTTTCCCTTCATAAAACATTCATAAAATACTTAATTAAACATGACAGTCAGAGGGAGCTAGCAGGCATCATGCAAATGAACACCAAGGAATGAGTAACTGTATCTAACTAATCAAGAGGTGCAAGGGGAGTGTCAGTCCCCTAGCAGGGAACATTAACACATGCCAGGCTAGCAAGTGAACAATCTGCCTCCTTCAGGCAGACAATTCAAAGACTAGGTTCATTCTTCTGACAGTTATTTCTTCTGAAGTACCCATTCACTGTTAGCATACACCCAGTTGCAGCCTCAACTCCCATCAGAAATGCATTGTGCCAGATGCTGTACATGCACAGCTTCATGGTCTTGTACAGTGACCTCGGCCCTGGATGGCTTTCCATCTAAAGAGGGTAGGGAAAGGAACGGTTGCTACTCCAGTTTGCAGACAGGTGGCCAGGACACAGAGAACCAGTGACTTGTCTGAGTTAACTCAGGGGACTGGTGACAGAGCTGGGGACTGAACCTAGTTTCCCAAGGCTCAATCCAATGACTCAGCCACACAGGTGGTGCTCTCAGCAAAACAGTAACACTCCTTTGAACAAATCTGGGGGAAGTCGTTCTGCCAAAACTTTTCTTTTTACCCAAAACTGCAGTCAGTGACACTGAAACATTTCACGAAGTCATTGCAAGTTTGGCAATATCTGCATCTCCTTTAACAGACAGGCAAGCAGAGCTGTAATTGCCAACTCTTCGATACCTGAAACCGTCTCACAGCCCGTCTCCCACCGTTTCTGATGTGCCTATGATTCCCTGTTCCATGGACCCACAGGGAGGCACCATTCGAGCCAGAACTGTGTTCCAACCACTAGTCTTCACTCAGATTCTTCCCTCCCCAGTGACCCAGGCCTCAATCCCATAACCTCCTCTTCCCACTCCCTTCAAGAATGTGCTAGTTCCCTCTGTGCTGAAAAAGCCTCATTCTACCCAGTCTTCTCCCTGCCTCAGGGTGCTCTGCTGGGTGCTCTGCACAGGCCTCTGCCCTTCACTGAAATCCACCTCACTACAGACACTGCCCTGCTCCAGACCAAATCTAAGGGTCTCTTCTCCATCCTCACCCCCTACTGTGCCAGCACCTGGGACACAGTCATGCCTGCTTTCTGCTTTGAAGGCCCCTTGCTCCTGATTCTCCTTTCAACTCAACAAACCTCTCCAGTGGGGGCTGAGAGGAGCTTCTCCCTGACATTTCCACCTTAGGTGCCCACTTGTCTGCATTTCTTACCTGGACTGACAGGTAATCTGGGCCATTGCACAGTGATGACTCTCAGGTTCTTCTCCCACTCATCTCCCTGACACCATCTCATGGGTTTCCCTTGACACCTCTGATTAAATGACCCCAGTCTATACGTTTAATCTCTGCCCCCCCCACGAGCCCCTTTCTTTTTCACCTGCATTGTTCCATCCTTCACCCCTCACTGCCTCCTCAACCCACTCTCTCCTCCCCCAGCCTAACCCACTCTCCTATTCTCCTGCATTTTCTCCAATGCTGGCCAGCTGCTCAGATCCATCTGCGGTGAGCCTTAGGGCTCCTGCCTATCCTCCCCCTTGACCCAATTCAAAGTATGTGCAGTGGCATCAGGGTTCCTACCCTGAAATGGCTCGATGAAGTGCTGGGATGTGGGCGCAGTGCGCTCCCATCGGTACTTGGGGATAGGTTTGCCGGAGGGTGACTTGCAGCTCATGGTGATGTTGCCCCCGACGTAGGGGCTCCCATTGATCTGGCATGTCGGAGCAGATGGAGGAACTGTAGAGAGCCAAGAAGACAGCATTAGTGCCTGTCAGTGGACAATTTCCAGTACCAACTTGCAAAAAGAAACAGCACCATCTCCTGGCCATGGGCAACATCCAAGAAATCCATGCTGAAATCATAAAGCCAGAACTGTCCCATATGCTGGACCCTGGTGCTCTGACTGTTCTAGCCTGGCTCTCCATTGCTGGTGCTGCAAAGAAAACCTGCCCTGAGCCATTACTGGGAACAATATGTGAAAGTATTCAGGCTCCATGTTCATGTGCAATGTCCACTAGATAGTTAATGCCTTCAATGCACCAACATAATCATACTATACAGGATGGACCTTGATCCATGCTCCAAGTTTACTGTGCTGAAACGAAGCTCTTATCTAATCAGACCAGATAAGGAGGAAGCAGCACCCTGTTCTGGACAGCTATTCATGAAGCCAGGAGCAAGGGACGAATCCGTGCTGAACTTTGCTTTCAGATATTTATTTCTGGACATACAAGATTGCTACAGTTCTGTAGCTGTCTCAGACCCTATCCCCAGGATATAACTGAGTTGCTCTGATATGACGCATCTACTTCCAAATCCCCTGGACTGTCCTACAATCTCAGCTGTCACAGAGGAACATAGGCACAGCCAGGGTAGATCATACCCCATCTCACTACAGTTGGTGGCTGGTTTCAGATAGCAGCAGTAGCAGGTGCTGCACAGAAATGTGTCAGACCCCTACAGCAACAGGTGAGGGATAGTCAGTACAATCAGTCCTACTCACTAGGTCTCACACTAGGCTCTAACAGTTAGAGAGATGGGTGAGCCTGGTGGCAGGTGGCTCAATAGCCCTTCCACAAAGGCGTGATTCCTGGTGGCAACCCTGGATATTCTTTATGTCCATAACGTCTGACCTCTAACTGGCTGTTGTTCAACGCTTCTCAATGACTTCATGGCAAGAGTTCTAGAGCTCATCATACACTGTGTAAAAAGGCATTTCTGGGGTTTGAATTTGGCAACTTAAATTCCATTGAATGGTCCCTTTTTGCTGGTGTCTCGCTCAGTACCCTTTCTATAGGAACACTTCCAATCTGCTCTGTCTCTCTCTCTGTATCTGAGTGTTTCCCATGTTCTCAATTATTCATCTCACACCCCTCAGAGCTCTCACAGTTCTGCAATACCGTTTTTGAGACAGGTTCCAGTACAGCATACAAGGGCCAGAGGAGGTTATACCACAAATTCATATAATTATATTATCTCCTTTCCTGTTATTCACTGTTCACTTTCTATGACTTAACTGCAGATAGTCAGACTCTTCCAAATCAAAGGTTCATTGGGACATGCTGATTTCCTGAGCCTGAAGCATTTCATTCCCAGTGAGCCAGGTCCAGGTACCTCACCAAATGCAAGGCCAGGTTCTGAAGGACACTGCTGGAGGCTAGTGCCCAGGAGCTGTGGGGCCCTAGGACAGAGGGGCCCAGTCATGCCAATGACCCCTGGAGCTGCTCAGTGAAAGTGATATCAGTACTGGAATATACCAGTTCCATCAAGCAGCCCTAGGATCCCAGGAGCTTCTAGTTAGCTGGAAAATTCAAAAAGTTTGCATTTCAGTTTGACTTGGACCACAATTCACACACAACTTTAAAAACAAAATCCTCTGAAGTAGGGAAGTCTGGGCTTGGACCAGCTTGAATCCTAATACCTTATCTGTTTTCCTTTTTCCCTTTTTAAGCACAGCTGTGAATTGAGCAGAGGTTTCAGTGGGTAGTAGTCAGACACACTCCAGCTCTTTCCTGAGTTGATGCAGGTACGTTACAACTTTGTAAAGTGCACAAAAAACTGACATTTTCTCTCCTCAGCATGCATTAGTTGCCTGTATGGAAAGCAAACCACGTATGCGCAGCCCATTCACTCAACTTAGCTAGTCTCTCTGGTGTCCCTCACAATCCTCTAAGTAACTAAGTAACTTTGCATCCTTTGCAGAGTTTACCACCTCATTGCTCACTTCCCTTTCTAGTACAATAGCAAACCTATTAAACACAGGGCTGTGTATAAACCTCAAAGCCCATTTATGTTAACCCTTTGCCATCACTTTATGCATTATTGTACTGGGCATCACAGTGTGGTTGTGATACCAAAGGGGAGACCCTATCCAATCCTGCTCTACTCTAGTTTTGGATTATGCCTGGACCATAAATACAAGTTTGTTACAGCCACATTTTTCAGCTTTCCCTCTCTCTCCATGAAGAACATTGAAGCTGGTGCTCTGCAAGTCCATTTTGGGGTCACATTAGCACCTCAAGCCATGAAGCAGCACACTGGGACTGGAAACAGGGGAGAGCAAGTGATGTCCCAGGGATGCACTAAGAAGGAGGTAGCCTCAGCAGCATCACCAACCTGGCTGTGCCTAGAGACCAACAGAGGAGCTGTGCCAAAGAGGCAGAGACAAAGCAAGGCCTTTCTCCATTGAACCATTGCTGGAAGTTGCCAGACTCAGTGTAGAGGGAAGGGCAATGGGGAGGGGCTGATTCCTAGAGAGAAAGCCAAGTTCAGAAAAGGTATGCTCTACTCTTTTCACATATTAGGTAGGGAAGAAAGTTCCCCCCTTCAGCAGCATGAGCAGGGCACTGGGCTTCTTGCTAGAGTGGATCAAGGATAGATTTACCCAAAACTGTAAGGTTGATGAGTCCAATATTTTTCCCATCGATGGCGCTATCATCCTCCACATTGACTGTGCATGCGTATTGGCCAGAATCTACCTCCTGGGTATTGTTGATAAAAATGGAAACATTAGAGTGCGGCACGGGGTGCACAAAACCAATCCGGTGCTTCAGGGATGTCTCCTCCACTTTTATAATTCCATTAATGTATGTCAATATCTGAAAGGGGAGAAGAAAGTACAATTACCTACGAGTCTTGCAGCCTTCAGAGGAAAGGAGTTATTATTGCATGCTCAAAAATGCACATCTACATTAGAATGGAAACATGGATAACATTTCAGTTCACACCCAGCAGGTCAGTTACTCTTTCCTGAGATGAATGGGGTTGTTTTCATCTCTCCAAACTATTGCCCAGATTCTCTGCAGTCTCAGCACTCATTACACCTGGGACATTTCTGAAGTTGGGTATACGGAGCAATATCGGCATTGCCATTTGCCTCCTTACCAGGTGCAGACAGAGTCCTTCCCTTGCCCCTAGTCAGAAATCTTTTCTTATTGCACAGAGAACAACGTTAAAAGAACTGCAGACCCACGAATATCAAGCCATCAAGAGCTGGGGGAGCTTTCATAAAGGCTGCCTGTGCATGGCCTAGCTTATCTTCAGCTTGTGAATATCCACCACAAATCCTCAGATTTAAATTGTTGAAGAACTGCGGTAGAATAAACTTGATAATACAAATCAGGGGAGGGCTGTGTGGGCAGGTGGTGTGCAGTTCAGTGACTGTTCACAGGAACCTTCTGTATTATCTCCAGTCAGTGACTGCAGCATAGACACCTACATAGATGTACTCGTCCTAGCTTTAACCTTGTTGGCTGGGAGACTGATAGCAGTGAAGCTGTGGCGGTATGTGTCCCCAGGGCCTGAACTGGCTTGTACAAACCATGTTGAGGCCCCTGCAGCTGAGGCTTCACAGCTGTCAGCACCCAAGCTGCAACCATGCTGTGACTGCAAGATATACCAATGGAGTCTAGTGTCCAGGGTCCACTTTCCCTCAAGTCAGCTACAAGTGACATGTGGAGGGAAGTGCTTTGAAAGGAGACTCACCCATGAAGTGAGGTTTTTAGAAAAAAACCAAGGCTTTTTACAGCATTGGGAGGAAGCATCACTGACCCCTGTGATCTTCCAGCCTAGCGCACCCTTTTGCCTATTCTAGCTGTCTCTCTCCCTCACTAGAACTCTTCACTACTCTTCTTCTTCTTCTCCTTGACCTGGCAAGTCCCCTCCTGCCCTGTCTCTGACTGGGAGAATCTGCCTTCTGGCTTTTCCTCATAATATAACGAGCCATTGCCATTGTCAGTAGTTTGGTTAGCTTGTTAAATATCATGCCCTACTGAAAAACCCTGATAAAGTTTCGCTGTGTATGGGGGGTATCCTTATACGCTAACTGAAAATGAGTAGATAGATATATGAGCTCATCTAATAACAGACTGGCTCTGTCTACATTCATTTGTGCAACACTGAGCTTCCAGCAGTTGCAAATCTCCACAGTTCCCCTCCCCTTCCATCTGGAAGGAGGGATTTAGTCTTCCTGGACTCCTAACTAGAGTGGTTTAGCCAATGGATGGAGACACACATGTGTTACAATGAACACAAGGCATTTTGGAGAGTGATGGACTCTGTTTTTAGGACTCCTGAGGGAAGGGATGCCAACCCAAGGCAATTTTCTTACTGACAATCTGCAAATGTTTTACCGACGACCACATTTTTGTGACATGTTTTGCATAATAAAAATGTAACACTTAAGGCAGGCCCTGGGCAAAGGCCAGATTCAAATTTAGGGGTTTAACATCAACCATAGTAAAAAAGTTGGATTGTCAGTCAAAAACTTGCAGATTATGAGGGTTTTTAAAAAGTCTTGGATTAGCAACTCTGCTTGACTGCAGCAATAGTTTTTACATCATGCTTTCCTAAATGCAGGGACCAGGTCCCCCTAATCACCCACACACCCTTTCACACCCAACCACACCCTGCATCATGCTGCTTCCTAGCCCACCGCCCAGCTGTACCTCCCTCCAGCCCCCGCATCCCAGACCCCCAAAGAAGGACTACTGTCTGCTTACTTGTGACCCAACAGTGTTACAGGCAAGTGATGGGATGCAACAGCAGCAGCACATGGCTGGGGTGGTGGCAAGGGAGCTACAGAGGCTCCTGTGGGTTACAAAGCCCTGAGAGAATGCTCTGTGCAGAGTACTGAGCTCCCACTCAGATACTACGAGGAGCTGCTCTGCCTGTCCTTCAACACTGTGCCTCCACCTTATTTCTCATTAGAAACCTTCAAACAAGCTCCCAGTTGCTTAGATTTTTTTTTTAATGGAGGGCTCCATTTTTATTTTATTTTTATTATTTATTTATTTATTTTACAGACTTTATGGACAGGTGGTTTAGCCTTGTTTTTTATAGACTGTCCTAATGTCCTCTCTGAGTCATGAGCAGATGCCCTTATTTTAGCCTGAAAATTCTGAGAAGGTTTCCAACTGGTAGAAGATAGCACCTCCAGATCTTGTACTGCATAGTCATAGAATTAAGTCCACGGCAAGAAGGCAGGAGACCCCAAGTTTTAATCCAACTTTTACTGCTCACTAGCCTTTAATGGCACTCAAACATTTTAGTGGGTACCTTGAGAGATAAGAAGGCAACTCAACACTATGGAGAGGCTGGGAGGCTGAATGACTAGTCTGAAGTGAGAGAGCCAAGATGAGAAGGCAGCTCTCTGCAGTAGGCATGTCTACTGATATGTGTCAGTAGCTTTCTAGGCCAATGCCTACCTTCCCTATGATCTTGTATGCACTGAAGAAGACACCCAGCTGTATTTTCAGTGAGTTTTACCCTGACAACATCCAAGGGTGCCCACAGAAGACCCATTTGCTGCATCACATTTGCCCTTGTGACTACCCTCAGGCTTCCCAAAGCTGGTGAGGTATGAGCTGCAGTCAGCTGTTCCCTCAGCTAGCGGCTCTCCAGAACCTGACAGGAGGACAAAGAATCGATGTGCTGGAAGTGGCAGCTCAGGCTCTTTTTAAAACTCTGCTGCTAGTTACCAGCACCCACTCACAGCCTACTGTCATCACTTAAGCATTTCCCTTTGCTGTTGGCCTCACTGCTAAGATCACTGAGGGCCCTAGGCTCTCTTTTGCTAGGTTCCCACTTTCCTCTTTGCATGCAAGACATTTACCTGCAATCGACTGGCTCCAGGTCTTTCGAAGACCCATAAGATATAGGGTTTCTTCTGAGAGCTGCTCTTATACCAGACTGGCAGCACCACCTGCTGTCCTTGAACTGAAGAGACAGAGACATTTCCTACGTGCATTTCCAGCAGTGCTGATGAGAGACCTGAAGAGAGAGAGAGAGAGAGAGAGAGAGAGAGAATCAGCATGCTAGGGCCCAATGCTTATTCCTGCTATGAACAAAGGGTAGCACCAAACACAAGACCCCATTGAGATACACCAAAACCCCAAGTTCTCTGAGGTACCAGGGGTACAATGAGGGGCATGGCATATACATCTGCAATACATCATGACATAGAACTGGCACCTGGTACTTCACAGTGCAATGGCATTTTTAACCTGAGGCTCTCACAGTGTGGGACAGACTATGCAAGTGTCTGTAGGGCCTCCTGTTAGAAGTCAGGGCAGCAGATAAGCTAAATTGCCCCCAGCTGACTCCAGTTACCTGCGGAGGCCAGGCTGCCAGCAGCCTACTTCCAGCTGGCCTCAGTTACCAGAATTTGCATGGTTCCCTCCACTCTTTCAGTGCCCAGAAGACTAGTCAACAGGACAGGTGCCTCTGTCTAGCCCTGGGCTTCCAAATCCTTATTTCTGGTTCCTGACTAGTTGTTGCTAGTTCCCTGGGTCCCGCTTCCTGGTTTCTGCCTGTTGGATCCTAGTTACAGACTCCAGCCCAGACCAGACCCCCAACCATCTTGTTCCTAACTTCAGTCCAGACCCCTATCTTCTGCCAGCCACTTCCTGGCCTGTGACTTTAGTTTGGTGATGGCCCACATCCTGTTCCTTACAGCTGTGGCTGCCTGCTCTAGCTCCTCCAGAAAGTGACTGGTCTGGATCCCTCTGCTCCGGATCCCCCTGGCTCATGGCCAGAGGTACATCTGGACAGCTCTGTGCCTGGAGCAAGTGTGTGATGCCTGGGGCAGAATTGGCTGCCACAGTGCTGATGACAGTGGCACGATCAGCTGCGGCTATTTTTGTAGCCCCATACAAAGGTGGTACTTATGGCTGCTGCCCCAATCACACCCTCTTCATTGTGATACTAGTTGTGGTTGTACCCAGGGCAACTGGCTGCATTTTGGTCCTTTACAGACCCTGGCCTCCTGATGGCCCGCACCTGATCTCCTGAGTCATGGCTAGTTTGGACCATCTGTTTTTGATCCCTTAGGTTGTGGCTCTCTAGGGTCAAGCACTGACTCCCTGTGTCCCAGCTGTATCCATGAAACCTCCATTGTCAGAAGCTGTATTGGAGTTGTCCTGTGCAAAGTGTGCATATGTGTACACACACACACACAAAAATGCACATCAACCAGAACAAGAAAAAAAGCAAAAGTCTGTTTTCTGGAAAGCAGCAAGCAAAATCCAGGAAGCTAGGACTTGGGGCCTGTGTTTAAGAGCTGCAAACCAATTTTATTTTGTATCCCTCTGATTTACAAGCAGCCTGTTTCTAACACTTGATGCTGTGGGTGGAGACCTGCACAAACAACAACTTTTAAAAATAAACCCAAAACCCAGCTTGCAGGAGACTAGTTTAATAACCAGCCATGGGAATCGTGAAGCTGTGAGCATGTCACTAATCTCTCTTAGGTACTTACATGACCCCTATTACCATAGTAACTGAGCATCTTACAAGCCTTACTGTCTTTATCCTTATAGAACCCCGAGTAAGGAGGCAGAGCTATTATTCCAGGATTGCAGATGGGGAACTGAGGCACAAAGAAATGAAGCACCCAGGGTCCAACAACGGCTCAGGGTATAGCAGGGAACTAAAATCAGGTCTCCAATGAGAAGCTTTCTAGGACTCTCTCTGATTCTGGGCACCAGATCCGATAGCAGGACACCAGACTCAGCAGCAGCAGCAAGGTGTGTAGGTGCCCAGGGCAGTTTTTGGCAGGCATTTAGTGACATCAAAACCAAAAAAAGGTGGTTTTGCACCAGCTCATCTGGAGCTAGTGAAAACCATATCAGATACTAAGGCAAATACCTATAATATTTCAAAGGCAGGTTCAAATAAAATCATTGAACTTTTAAGTTCATCACCTGGTTGTGATGAAGTCACTGAACTCTGAGCTGTTTGCAGCTGTGCTAATGCTGCTGAAGGTCAAGTTCAGATTCCCTTCACAACCATCCCTCTTGGATTCCCTTTCAAGACAAGCTCATGTTTTCCAGAAGTCAAAGGTGTCATGGGACTTGTCCTGGTACCAACCCTGAGGGGTCAACCCATGGGCTGGGTCTCCCAAAGATCACCTCATCCTGGAACCTTTCTCTTTGCTTTCTGAGTCTTTACAGGGCACTTGTGTTACATTTAAGCTTTTCTTGGTAACTGTAAAGACAAGGAACTTTCAAAATTGAAAGCTGATATTCTTCCTTAAACCTAATTCCAGAAGCTGCCACTTTTGCGCTCTTAGCTACATCTGCTGAGAGAAATGTGCAGGCATAGCTGAGCTAGCTGCTCTCTAGTTCACTGGATAGCAGCAGGACTGCTACCAGGACCACTACCACTACTACCAGTAGCAGTAGAAATAGTGGCAGGACTTCAGCTGGGGATGGAAAAGCCTGCCTGGGACCACAGGGACACCCTCCAGGGGCTAATCCATGCTGAAGTCTGTGCTGCCATTTTTCATTGTTCTTGATCAAAGCCAGCTCAGCTACATCAGCATATGCTGTGATCACACCAGACTACAACATGGGCACAGCCTAAGAAAAGCAAATCTAAAAATGGCAAGAACTGCTGACACTGGACTAAGGCAGTTTTAACATTTGCAGCTGAGTGCATTTTTATCCTTTTATGACAGTGAAGAGGAGAAAGTCCAAATGGAGTGAAAGTGAAACATTTGACAGGACAGCTTGTACTTTGTCAGTGTGGGCTGTGATCAGAGGACAAATCCTTCAGCAGAAAAGACTTGGATAAGTATTTTTACTTTCATTGATAATCAGAACTAGCTGTAACTGTCTCCTAGTTTAATGTTTTAATTGTAGCAGCTCTAACGGAAACATCTGAGAGAGAAACTAATGACTCTTGAAAGTGATGAGCCAGATTTTAACCATGCGGATTTGCACACAGAAGCCGGAGGGTGATGCATCAACTGAGATCTGACCGGCTGAGATTATTTTTCATCTTTCTGACATTCTAATACCACAGAATATGCCAAAGAAAGAGGAGACGCCCACAAGGTGAGGGGGAGTTAACATACATCCTTCAGGCTTTTCCCACGGCCATTTTCATAGTCCAAATTCCATAAATAGCCTGACTGAAATGTTTGTTAGCATCACAAGTGTGATTTATTAACAGGTGGCTCTGGATATAAGGACCTAGTGACCAGAAACAAGTTGTCCAATGAAGTTTAATGCACCAGCTCCTTTGGGATTTCTTTAGAAATGGTGATAATCTGTGTTTACATGTGTGCCAGCAGTAATAAAGCTGGAAGGGTGGGTTTCTTCCAGTAGCGTCGCTCCAATCAAACAGAACTTTTTTGCTGCAGCGTGGATGTTGGCAGGGTTGCCAGCTAGATGCAATAAGATTTCTGTTACAGGGTCCTCAAGGCAAGGTGCAGCCTTTAGTACAGCACCAAGTACATTGCTTGATAAAAAAAAAAAGTAACCCCCTCTGTGACTAAAGGTTTTACAGTCAGACCTACCTCCATCTGGTATGCCACTCACTGTATGAGCATCACAATTCAGAGGGGCCCATAAGGAACTCGTGTGGAGCAGGGAAAGATGGGGTTAAGACTGACAGAATATTTCATAGACATTAGGGCTGGAAGGGACCTCAGAAGATCATCCAGTCAGCCCCCCACCCAAAGGGCAGGAAGTCAGCTGGGGTCATAGGATCCCAGCAAAGATAAGCATCCAATTTGCTCTTGAAGTTGTTCAATGTAGGTGCTTGAACCACCTCCGATGG